TTATACGTGATAATGGTAGCCGGGTGTGTTATACTTATAAACGGCTGCCGGTCGGGTACCGGGTGGAGTTATTCGGGTCCGGTTTGGGTTCGGGTACGGAGTTGTCGGGTCGGTTCGGACTTGGGTACGGAAAAAAAGCTCCGGTTCGGTTTCGGGTGGAAAAAAGTGCATCCGTGCAGCACTCTAATTTCAACAAACATCTTTTTGTATTATGTTTATTTTTATTAATCTATTAAAAATTTAATTTGATTACGAATATGAAATAAACAAATAAGTTTATTACATTTTTCTTTAGATCTACAATAACAACGAAAAATTCAATTCCAAATCTATATTCTTCAACAAATACAAATGATTCTATTGCTTCATCTAATTGTTCAATTGATCAAAGAAAACAAAATGAAATTTATCAATCAAATGATGAAATAACTAAATTACAACAACAAAATTTTCATCGTTTACTTTCAAATGTTGAATCAACATATTCTTCAAATAATAATTATTTATCTGAATATGCAATTGATGATAATAATCAAATAAGTAATCATTCTAATACACAACAATCTATTTTAAATCAACGTAAACAAGTATTACTCAAAGCTATTCAAAGTATTGATAAACAAATAGAAGAACTTAATATACATAATGATGAATAATTTTTTTTGTACTCATGTCTGTAATATTTTTTTTTTTTATCAAATAATACATTGAGTAATGTTTTCTTTCCAATTGTATAAATAATGACAAAAAATATATTTTAGATGGCTTATCTATTCCGTTCAGTTTTTATTCAATCATTAAATAAAACAACACGACCAATATGGACAACAATGCGTCGAAATATGTCATCACATAATAAAGAAACTGATGAAGAATTTGATGAACGATGGAAAGCATATTTTGATCGTCCTGAAATTGATGGTAATTTAAAATAAATTAAAATCGAAATATTTAATAAATTTATTTTTTTTTGCGTTTTTTGATTTCAGGTTGGGATATTCGACAAGGTATTAATCATATGAATCGTCTTGATTTACTTCCTGAACCAGAAATTATAACAGCTTGTTTAAAAGCATGTCGTCGTGTTAATGATCATTCATTAGCTGTTCGATATTTAGAAGCTATCCGTTATAAATCAAATGCAGTTTCAAAACAAGTATGGCCATGGATTCTTCAAGAAATTCGTCCAACATTAAATCAATTAGGTGTATCAACGCCAGAAGATTTAGGTTACGATAAACCTGAATTGGCTTTAAAATCGGTTGATGACATGTAGAGTGAACAAATAATACACGAACTAATCTTTTTTTTTTCCATCCGACTACTTCATGATTTTTGGTTTCCTTCTTAAAACAAAGATATTATCCTGTTCCTTTTCATTCTTTTTATTAAACTCCAACAAATAAAACTTAGATTGTATTTCTCTAGATGTTTTTAGCTATGTATTATTTTATCATGGCTTTTACAAAACAAAAAAAAGAAAAAAAAAATTAATAAGAAACTTTTTTTTATGAAAATACAATTGAAGATATAAAAGTATTATGATAATAATGGATCAATATTGGTTTTCAATTATGAACAAGATTATTGAAGTCTTTTTCTTTTTCTTTTGCTTTGAAGATTTATACTTATTGATTAATTTTCAAGGCAAATCAAAATCAAATGTATATTTATTGAAACATCTCAATAAGAGAACTTGGTTTGATATTTGTTATGGCGAGTATATTACAATCGATTAGATTGATATGTTTAAAATTTATAACGTTTGAACAAATATGAGACTTACTTATGTCTATTTAAAATCATCAGGTAAATACATTTGATGATTAACTGATTACGTTATTTGTTAGCATAAGTTTCATTTTTGATCTATAGAATTCAATTTGTTTCACATACATCATAGTGAAGTTAAACTTGCAATAAAATAAGTAATCGAAATTGTTATGATTGTTTGAAAGGTAAAAAAATGCATGAATAAAATTATTGCTGCTTTTAACATTCGAATTATGGTAGAATACTTCTATCATAATATCAGATATTTCTATTCAAAACTTACAAGGAAAGTCTCTTAATTGATTAATCGTTTTTAACTTAGAGCTATATATATTTTATATGATATTTTTCTAAAGAAATACTTTGACTTTTCTCAGTAACATCAAGAAAACTCATTTTCGAATTTCAAGTTGAAAATTTCCACACAGACAGGACTATTGTGAAAATTTCAGAGATTATTATTATTTCTATTTCAATTTAGAGGCCTGACTTTTTCACATTAAACTATTCTTATTAAGTCCTGTCTTTATGCAAAATTTCAAGTTGAAATTCGAGAACCAGTTGTTCTACTGTTGCTGAGAGAGACTATGACATCTACTTTAAAAAATCTCGAAAAAATGCGGTACTTACGTTTCATAGCTCATTACAGTCTACATGATGCACATAGCCTCGATTAATCAACTGGTAGCTTTCCCTCATTAATATAAGACTGATTGATATTTAGAACAACATAGACACTAATCATTTTAACTAATTAAATTTTATAATTATTTCGAAATTGTTTTTTTTTGTTTTCATTTTTCTTAAAGTCATAATAAGAAACCTAATGCATTTTGTAGTACGAATATAAAAAATGTACTCCGAAATTTTTCAAAAGGACTAATTTAAACTCAATATACATTTTTTTCGTATTTTTTGCTGCTAAGCTTTCATATACCATTGAATCAAGCAAATATAAATATATTTACTGCTTTCCTATGTTCAAAAATCACTATTGATCAGAGCACAAATCATAGAATGAGTATAGCAGACGTCATTCTAATTTGACAAATCATATAGTATACGCATTTTCTAGTAAAGTACGTAAGTAGAAATGTGAAGTGCTCATTAAAAATTCGCTGAGAACTCATTATGAACAACGAGATAGACGTTCTTTTTTTTTGCTTATATCTTGTGGAACTACTTGACTTTTATAAAATGAAATGTTTTGAAATCTTCCAGTACTTGATCTAACTAAATTATACGTTGTCATAAACAAGAAACAATTTTCAAGCGAAAATAGTTTAAATATGTTGAGATTTTTAAAATCTCTCTTGCATCACTGAATAATTCCTTTATTTTACATATCAGAAGACTACGAAACATCTCATAACAGTTGAAATCAAAAGTCTCATGAAATCTTTTTATTGTTGAAGATTTTTTAAAAAGTTTTTTTATACAGTAAAAATATTTTTTATTTGTTTGATTCAGTAGTACATGAAAGCTTAACAACTGAGAATACGAAAAATATAGATCGAGTTTGAATCATTCTTATTCAAGAATTTCGGAGAACTTTTTTCAAGTTTCAAGGAACTTTTTACTAGCACTGTATCCACCTGATATTTATTTGTGAGGACTGTAATCACCTATTTAATAACATAATCATATCAACATTAATTAAAGGATAAAATTTAATGTAAAAAGAATGTTCATCTTTTAAGAGAGTACTTATTATTTATTGTCGTTTACTAATCCATATGAGCTTATGAATATTGTTTTTTTTTTTTGTACTTGGTAAAATAGGAATGTTATTATATAAGTTATAGTGTCATTCATATTGTATTTACAATTTATCATGCATTTTTAGTTTTCCTTTTTGTTTATTAACTATTAGTTACACACACTTAAGGATAACATGAGTGAAAAACCTTTTTTAATAAAAAACAAATAATTATTCACAAAAATTATTTTCATCATACAATTAATGATTGTTGAAGTCCAACTAGAACAGAAACAATTCATTTGTTATTTCTTGTAGAAAAAAATGATTTAAACTACATCAAATATTTGGAATTTTAAAATGTCCAAAAAAAATGTGAGTTTTTGGAACTATCGAAGATAAAGATAAAGAAAATCCGCTTTGATAATTAAGGTTTGCTCTTAAGTCTGGAAAAGAAGATTTAAAATAAGTTATTTGTAATAGAAATTCAAATTGCATTTTTCTCAGAAAAATAAAATCCTATGAAAATAGTTTTAAGAGCTTTCATTTAACTAACAATATTGTACTGAATATAATTGAAAAGAAACAACTGAATGACCCATCTGTCAGAGAAACGAGTCATACGAAAGAATTAGTAATGTGTTAAATATCAACATAAAAGATTTTATTTTATCGAATATTACAAAACGAATCTATAATTACAATTATATAACTCAAACTACTTCAAATTATTCTTTAAAATTTCCCAACAAAAAAAGAAATATAATATTTTCCTACATGCATGAAATAAATTCGAGCAGTTTTCTTCTAGTTATTGTCTACGAGAAAATTTCGTATGTTTGAAAAATTTTTCTATCAATTTACTAGTTGTTTTTTGTCAAATATAATAATATCTGACTTTTTTGTGTACTCAAAAAGTGAGCACACTCTAAAATCGGTCAGTATGTCCGTCCGGCCGGCCGTATACACGATAACTTTCGAAAGGAGAGTCCGATCATGATGAAATTTTCTACACAGTTCAGTCTTAACAATGTCTCGGTCGAGTTCGAAGATGAGCAGGATCTGTCAAG